TTCCCAATCACTTCCTCTTCAAGACCAACCCTAAACCCCAAACCCTAAACCCTAAACCCCAAACCCTAAACCCGAATGAATTGGTTTCTGGGATGCGCGCCCTGCACTGCCAAACCTCAGAGATGCGGGTGTGACGAGTCCGGACTCTCACAACAATCCTTCCCCAGACCCCCTCAAGGATCCAAAAAATGGAAAATAGTGTGTATGTTCGGGTTATATAAGGATAATGGAAAATAAAATGGAAACTACTATATTGTAATCGAGAACATATTGGGATTATATCACCCCAAAGGACCCAAAAATGGAGGCCCCCCCCAATATTAACCCATTACTACAATGGGAAACTAGGAGATTATTAGGGGGTTCCACTCTTTTGGATCCCTTAGTAGGCCTGGGTAGTGTTGTGTATGGGCCGCCATTTTGTAGCTCTTTTCCTGACAATAACTGTCTATCCATGATCAACAATCCCATCCCGCGCTAGAAGTTAGAGCGATGGGCTCAGGGTTCCGAATTGAAGCCCTGAACCCTAAACCCTAAACAAACCGTGAGAAGCTCTGAGTGCATTCTGGAAGCGTGCCAGTCCATTGCAACCGCAGGCAGTATCGATGCTGCCGCAAGACTTCCAAAAGCTAGCTGCCTCCCATTGGGTCGTTATATTATATTGGGATAATGGAAAAGAAAACGGAAAGTACTATTTAGGGTTCAGGCTTTAGGGTTTGGGGTTAGGGTTATATAGGGATAATGGAAAAGAAGATGGAAACTACTACAGGGGTTTTATAGGGATAATGGAAAAGAAAATGGAACCTACTATATTATAATAGGGTGTCTAGGAAGGTTATATTGGGGCCTCCTTCATGAAGGCAGCAGAACGCCGCAAGGCTTTTCGCACTTTGGCTCTGGCTTCTGGGCGTAATGGTTGCAGATGCACAAAACCTAATGAAAATATGCAGACCCAGTTTACTTCATTGTGACCTGTGAACATTCAGATTAAAACCTTCACTTTATCCAACCCACGGCAGGCCCATTGGCCTTGTTGTCCTGCGGCAACCGCTCCTGAAAAACAGAAGAAGTAGGGTTTTGTGATATCTTTTTGCTACCCGCTATCGCCCGTGATGTGATCCATTCATATGCTCGGTACTCCCCGGGCTCCAGAGTGTTCTGCGTCAGCTGCCGGGCAGACTGCAAGTAATACCTGCAGCTCAGTGATGTTGGCTAAGCTCAACCTGACATGTGAGGATTTCCCAAAATTGGGGGGTACCTTTTTCAGGATCCCCAAAGTAAGGACTATTGCATATTGGGGTCTATATTGGGGTCCCCTTATTGTGGGAAACAGACATGTCAGTAGCGTTTTTTGGTTGTTAAACCCAGTAAGATCATATTCCTTATATAGAATACGGAGGATATGATCTTACTCTATATAGGGTACCCTAGTATCTCCAAATAAAATACTAATCATGTATGCTTTGCAGGAGCACAGCAGTTTGCTGCTGATCTGTTCGGGCAGCTCCGGAGGCTCCTTCAACGATCATCTAAGGACTTTAGGAGGGACCCCTAATTAGGGTTTAGGGGTTTAGGGGTTTAGGGTTTAGGGTTTTGGGGTTTAGGGGTTTAGGTTCTAAGGACTTTAGGAGGGACCCCTAATAGGGACCCTTGTAGCTTCTGGGGGTTAATATGGGGACTACCTAGGGATATAGGGGTTATAAAATGACTATATAAGGGTAATGGGATTAAGGGTCCCTATTA